GGCTCGTTCCCAGTGAGAGTTGGACTCCCCCAAGGCTGCCCTTTGTCACCAATTCTGTTCATAACCTTTATGGACAGGATTTCTAGGTACAGCCAAGGTGTGGAGGGCATCCATTTTGGTGGCCTGAGGATCAGGTCTCTGCTTTTTGCAGATGATGTGGTCCTGTTGGTTTCATCAGAACGTGATCTTCAGCTTTCGCTGGAGCGGTTCGCAGCCGAGTGTGAAGCAGCTGGGATGAGAATCAGCTCCTCTAAATCTGAGACCATGGTCTTGATTCGGAAAAGGGTTGAATGCCTTCTCCAGTCAGGGATGAGGTCCTGCCCCAAGTGGAGGAGTTTAAATATCTTGGGGTCTTGTTCACAAGTGAGGGAAAACTGGAGCGTGAGATCGATAGGCGAATAAGTGCTGCATCTGCAGTGATGCGGGCGTTGTACCGGTCTGTCGTGATGAAGAGAGAGCTGAGTCAGAAGGCGAAGCTCTCGATTTACCTGTCGATCTACGTTCCTACCCTCACCTATGCTCATGAGCTTTGGGTAGTGACCGAAAGAACGAGATCACGGATAGAAGCGGCCGAAATGAGTTTTCTCCAAAGAGTGGCTGGGCTCTCCCTTAGAGATAGGGTGAGAAGCTCGGTCATACGGGAGGGGCTCGGAGTAGACCCCCTGCTCCTCCACATTGAGAGGAGCCAGTTGAGGTGGCTCGGGCATCTGGTCAGAATGCCTCCTGGATGCCTCCCTGGTGAGGTTTTCCGGGCACATCCAACCGGGAAGAGACCTAAAGGTAGACCCAGGACACGGTGGAGGGACTATGTCTCTCACCTGGCCAAAGAATGCCTTGGGATTCCCCCGGAGGAGCTGGCCCAAGTGGCTGGGGAAAGGGAAGTCTGGGCCTCTTGCCTTAGGCTACTGCCCCCACGACCCGACTCCGGATAAGCGGATGAAAATGGATGTATGGATGGACAAATGAAGGACAGACGCCTTGGTAGCAGATGAACAATGGAACATGCCTTGGCAGTTCCTCATGACATATCTCCTAGGCAACCGCGGCAGGACCAAGACATCAAGGCGAAGTTCCTTGACACTGAGAAACACCCTGGCGGCCCTCCAGGCTTTGCTTGGCCACCCGCCAGGCTAAGCGCCATGCCCTGCCCTGCCCCCCTCCCCGACCCTACTGTGTCTGCTGACACGAACGGCGCAACGAAACTAGAGCCCTCCATCAGCAGATACTGGTGAGAAACAGCAGCGGAATGTGTGCAACCCCCCCACCCCCACCCCCGCTCTCAGGATGGAGCGCTGTGGGATGGACCCTAGCCCTGACCCTTTCCATCAGTTTTAACGGGTTTGAAATAAAATCAGTGTTCAGATTCATTTAAATCTGTTTTTTAATTTTGTTTGTTTTTCTAGTAAACTTTTTCTTACAATGTAATTTACAATGTCCAAGTAAATAATTAAGAAAAGATAAAAATAATATAGGAAATCATTGATGTTTATCATTAGCTGCTGGTCATATTATGGTATCAGTATCAGTATCAGCCACAGAAATGAAAGTCCTGTCGTTGTTGTTTATTTCAATAGCTCAGGTGCTTTTTCAAGACAAAAGAGCCATCCTGGGATCCTGATTGATCCTTTTAGTGTGAACAACATGTCCAGATGGTTACATAATTTAATTAACTCCAATGGCTGGAAGGACGAAGTGAACCAATTAAAATACACAATTTATTTTTTGCTGAAAATGACCTAAAAAGAAAAGAAGTTAGATCTCTGTATGTGTTAGATGGCAACAACATATGGAGGTCAGAATTACAGCAACAGAAGGAATCTGGTTCAGATAAACAAATAAAGATCTGAAACGAGTGAGGGTTTCATTTTCCAACAGGAATACCAATAACCGCCCAGTTGGAGTGTTACCTCATTCAGTCCCCACTTCCTCAAAGTAATCAGTTACTCTGGAAACGAGGATGAAAAGGTCTTTAGTTCCTACATTATTAATTACATTTTGTAAAGGATCTGACCAAATGATGTATTTTTTCCATTTGTCCATCATCTGTTTATTTCTATTTAACTGCCGACGTGTGATCTCATTAAAAATCCGGCACATTCCTCATCGTTAAATAGAATTACCTCTCACAGAATCACCTAACTTCACCATCATAAATATAAATTATTACAGCGAGAAAATACTTCATTCTAGTTTAAAACAGAGTGTAAACAGCCTAAAGCATTCGATCGAGTGAATGCTGACGAGACTGCAGCCAGAAACCACTAACTGACCTGAAATCAGTTTAGAGGTCAGCAGTTACTCCAAGGAAACAGCCAGATTAAGCACACGCTAACGTTGATCGATTAAAAAAATGGTGAGAAACATTGATGGTGTTTATCCAATAATATTTACTTTATAAAACCTCAAAGAATAATTCTGTATTTAAATGTTATTTTAATAGGTAAGAATACAAAAAATTGGGGATAAGATGACAAAAATGCTCAACTTTTAGTGTTTCAGCAAGAAGAACTTTTAAAAGGAGAAAAAACATTAAAGCAAATAGATTGGTGGACATTAGTAATTTGATTTACTGATGGAAATGAAAGTAAATCAACATGACACATATTAGAGGACAATAATTTAAAATTTCATTTAATTAAATGAACTAAGTTTAGCACACTTGATTTCTAAAGTAGTGAATGCTCTAAATACTCAGTCCTTCTGAAGCGAAAAAGGTTAAAATACTATATACTAAAATACTATTATAAATAAATACTATGAGATTATTGCTGCTGTGGGGGTCGCAGTGCTTTTAGTAACTGGTGTAGAGCTTAATAGTCAGTGTAAAACGTGTCTAGCATGGGCCATTGACTTAAAGGTGGTGAACACTCAATACATTTGCAGTGGTCTAGTGGGAATGAAAGCCTTGTAAGTTGTCCTCCGAGAAAGAAAAACACCGGCTTCTGCGGTGATCACGTAACGCTGCCTGACACGGTAGATAACGTAATAGTATACGTATAACGAGCCTTTTATTTTTTAAATTGTAGATATATTTTTTAATTCAATATTTAAGTGAGTTAGCACCTGCTAGCCACCAAAACTGCAACTAAGAAACTAACGGACCATAAAAAAATCATTTTAGACATCAGCCCGATAGCTACAGTTGACTTACATTTAAACTTGAAATTTGCCCCCGAAGTAGCTGCTGGTTTCTGATCCTAGCCATCCTGTTGAAAATACTGCGGTGTATTCTGCGTAATTTTTGACCAAGGCTAGACTACAAGACACCTCCCGTGCATCCTTGCTCAGCTAGCTAAACAGCTAACAAACGGAGAACAGACGCTTTGATAGAACATGAACATTGGAACACGCCTTGGCGGTTCTTGAAGACGTATCTAGGCAACCGGGGCGGGACCAAGACATCACGGCAAGGTTCCTTGGCATTGAGAAACACCCTTATTTCCTGATATTTGGGGCTTCTCGTCTGAGACTGGATAACGTAAACACAACACTACCAATGTCTTGCAACGTTAATGTTTTATCTTCACAAATAACCCAAGTCTGGAGGAGCTTCTGTCATCTGGTGGCATTGTTAACACTAATGGTTAGCTTCTACCAACTGAGACGTTCTCTGAAGTTTCTTAGATGCTAAAACAACAACAGCTCCCCCGTCATGAATCAAGATGGGTGAGTCCATGTTAAGTGAAAGTTTGACGTAGATGTTTTCAAATCCTAGAATTTCACCGTCTATTTTCCATCGGAAGCTAAAGCAGGAGATAGGTGTAGGAGACTATTTTCATGTTTAGCCTGCATTAAAAACTCAGAGTAATCAAATATAATCATAAATAATCATAAAAAAAAATTCAGTAATCCACACCTTTAAATATTTAAATTTAGGGCAGGTCTGTGGATGATGTTTATTTTACATTTTAATCCTCAATTAGGACAAGGTAGTTTACTAAATCTGTCTAGGAAACTCAACACGAGTACTTCTGAAACAGAAACAAGAAGAATCTGCCTTCAGTTGATCATCGTATTAATCTTTGGAAATATCCACGTTGGAGCTAATTTACTATTTTAGAACAAACTGTGTTTATACTTTTTTTTATTTAACTGAAAACATGGAACAAATTCAGTTACAGGTGTGTCAACAGGTTCCACCAAATCCGCTTAACCTCCGGGGACCCAAACTTGTATTTGGTTTTATTTAAAATAAAAAAAAAACATATCTAGCTGTTACAGAGTAGTCGACTGTAATTAACAGACACAAAGTTACAAAAATTTTTTAAATAAAAATGTATTAAATGCAAATGTTGTCAAATATCCTAAAAAAGAAAGACAGAAAAAATTTTTTAAAATTTAAGTCAATATAAAGTGTCTGTAAATAATAATAATAATAAAAGGTCTAAGTAGAAGATAATTTTTAAGTGCAAGGAGCCAATGTTCACATATGTGGACACAAGGCCCTAGGAGGTTAAATGTAAAAAGTATGAGGCATGCATCGTTATGTTAAGAGTAGATGTAGGTGTTTTAGTTCAACCACTTAGCCTGATTAATTCAACACGTTGTTTCTTACAGTGTAACAAATCAATAATTGTTTTATTTATTTATTTATTTATTTATTTATTTGTTTGCTGTGTGACAAAATAAGTTTAGCAGCCTTTAGGGATTTAGCTCAGAATTTAGAGGGTTTTCTCACATAAAACAAAAATTAAACTCATTCATCTAAAAATAGTAAATTATTGGACTGAAAATGAATTTAAAACGTGTAAAGAAAAATCTGACAAACCTCCGCGAAGCCTAAATAATACTAATCAAGACTAAACTCTAACAAACAATGTTGCCCTTAATAGTTATTTTCTATAGACTTCATTCAGTTGTGTGACTACAGGCTAGTATCCTGATGCTGCTGTCAGGAGGGTGTCTGTAGCATATGCAGCCATGCAGACAACGCTGCATCATTCCAGACCTAAACTTCCAGGATGCTGGGAGGGAAAACGCGTTCATATGAGAGGGATCACCTGTAAACTGAGAATCTGAGGCGCTCTGCAGCTCGATCAAAGTTTCTTCTTTCGCTTTCGCCGTTATCCGTCTCATCTTAGCGGCGAACGGCGTTCTTGTAGCGGCGTCGCCTCCCCGGGTCGGAGGTAGAAAGGCAGGGAAGGAAGGATCTATGGAGGAGCCACCACACTCTCGCACCGGCTGATCTGAGATCGGTTGTGATCGGATCAATGGATCATTTTGGTATCATTAGAACCGAACTCGGCTGAGCTGCCAGGAAAGCAGCGCGCGCGCATAAAGGGGAGGGCCTCTGCCTTTTCATTTCCGTCAGTAAAAAAAAGGATGTTAGTGTGCGAAAACTGATTATTTGTTAAAAATTCAAGGAAAAAATATTAAAACCGTTTTTATTTATGAAAATGTATGAAAAAATTTATGAAAATTACTGCGTATGCATTGAGATCATTAAAGATCAAAGAGGAGAGAACAGAAGCATCGCGTTTTCACGTTTTTAACACTCTTCCGCCCCCTGGTGGCAGCTTGAAGATGTTTTATATTGAACAAACTATGTTGCGCTCCTACCCTTCCAGATTCAGATTTATTGGCCAAGTAAAATTACATTTATAAGGAATTTGGCTTCGGCAGATGTTCGCTCTCTAAAAGCTCTCCTTGTTACATGGTCGTCAATAAGGTGATAAATAATGCTTTTCTGTAATATAATTACAATAATTTAAAAAAGGAAAAAGATGAAGATTTATTGTTATAAACAGCACTAAGTCCTTTAGGATGTTTGGGGTTTTTCGAAGAGTGAAGATTGTCATCCAGGGTAGGCAGGTGAGTGTTTGTTATTTTCTCTGCAGTTCTGATTACCCTCTGCTGGGCCTTCCTGTCAGCTGCAGAGCTGCTGCTGTACCACACCAGGATGCTGTTGGTCAAGACACTTTCTATAGAGCAACCAGCTGTTTTTGTGGCAGGTTGATCTTCCAGAGAGCCCTCAGGAAAAAGCCGTTGTTGTGCCTTCTTTGTCAGACATTTGGTGTTGTGTGTTCATGTCAGGTCCTCTGATATGTTTGTACCCAGGAACTTGAACTGTGACAGCCTCTCCACCTGCTCCCCCTTTATTGTGAGTAACTGGTGCGCCACCTTTTTCCTTCTTGGGTCGATGATGAGTTCTTTGGTTTTGTTGCTGTTCAGGGTCAGGTTGTCAGCTGTACACCAGTCCACCAGCTGCTGCACTTCTTACCTGTGCTGACTCGTTTCCCTGGCTGATTAGGCCCACCAAGGTTGTCTCATCGCAAATGATAGCATTGGTGTTGTGGGTGGGCTTAATATGTGTATAGGACAGGAAGGGACTCAGCACGCAGCCTTGTGGGGCTCCTTTGCTGAAGGACATCAACATTTTATATGGCCTCTTAGCTCACTGACCAGTGTGTTTCTCAGTAAGTGTATTGGGAAATCTAATTTTAAGTCTGGCCTGCACCCAGAAAGAATATCCCATTTATCTTTGAGTTTCAGTTTCCCTGAAGGGTCTTCTTGAGTTAGGCTTTGTATCATTTGGTTCAACCCTAGCCCTCACCAATCACAAGTTACCAGCCTGGCTGGTTTTGGGACTGGGCTAGACTAGCTTTGGGAAGTGGACGAAACAAGATCAGATTAAATATGGGAATAAAAGCCGCCTCGATGCATGAACACTTGCCAAACGCCTGTAAGGGAGGTGTAGATGCGCTTGGTGGGAGTGACCTTTTGATGCATCTATGGGTTATCTACTGAATGAGAGAACGATAAACACAGTTTTTGCCATTCAGGAGTGCCCAATCCTGGTCCTGGAGGGCCGGTATCCTGCATGTTTTAGTTTGAACTCTGTTTCAACACACTTGATTTCAATCGGCAGCTAATTAATAGGCTGCAGAGCCTGATGAGCTTCTGCAGGTGTTTCAACCACTGAATCGAGTCTGTTGGAGCAGATAAACCACAAAACCTGCTGGATGTCGGCCTTCCAGGACCAGGATTGGGCACCCATGCTATTTCATTTTTAAGATGTCTTTCTGTGTCTTCTACGTTTCACTCAGGTACATTATGAGAGTATTTTAAGGAAGTGCTTGAATGCATGATGCTGTTAGAGATGACGAATCTGTTTGGGATTTCCCAGAGGAAGAGCAGCATGAAATGTCATGATTTGTCCAAAGGAAGCTTGATTAGATCCTGTTTTTCATTAGTGAAAAAAGATGTTTCCTGCTTGAGTTTCATTTCACTTCCTCACCGATTGGCTGCTCTCACAGGTGGAAGTCAGTCAACAATCAGTGACCTATAAAAGGACGGGAGCAGCTGTCGAATGTACGTTTATGTTCCGGATGAATCTCTTTCAACTCTTTTTCTCCAGTTTATGTTGCTGGTTCAGGAGTCACGTGAACATTTGTTTGTTTTAGTTTTCAGGGTAGAAGCCATTGTTTTGGTTTTAGCTCACCCTGAAAATTTAATGCAAATCTGTTTTTAACAAAGTAAAGGAAAGACACTTAAAAAAGTAGAAGTAAGTTGCTGTTATCTGGTAGATTAGCAGTTGGACATGACACGTGCACATCTTCATTCTATTTTAAAAGATGAGTACCAGCCCAATCTGTTTCTGAACAGCTTCGGGGTAGTGTGAAGCGACTCGGTGAACTAATTGCAGTAAGTTGGAGCAGGTTAATGGGCTGAGTGAATCCTTAATTTTAAATGCCCCACTCAGCAGATTAGGCAAATGATGTCCATAATTGGTGTAAACCATCGTAATCCCAGCTGCTGTTTTCAGATGATACAGAGGATTTTTCATGACTTAATGGAAGCCACAAATCCCCAACTCCCTGAATAATAAGTCGGTAGAAAAAGGACGTGGAATTCTCTTGTTCTCCTGTCTTACATAAAAAGAAGCTCTACAGTTCTTAGTGAAGGTGCCAAAAATATGTTAAAACACAACAGTGTGTGTAAAAGTACAACATTCTAATTTCTGATGAACAGCAGAACAGAAAGACACCCTCCTGCGAGCGACATAAGCCCTCGGGCATCACCGGTAAAACTAATTATCTGTAAAAGTCTGGTAGTTAAGGTGGAGCTTGTCTTAAATAGTTTCAGTTGGGCGGTTCCTTGGTGGCTCACAAAATGTTATTGCTTTAACATGCTAACATAATGTTATTTTGTACCACAATTTTTGCTAGAACATTTAAACATATGGTTTCAAATTATACCTGAAATTTAGGAATAAAATTTTAACGGGTAAAATCCTCCTGTTTCTATTCCAACATCAAATCCATCTAGCTGAAATGATCAAACCCAGAAAGGAAAAACGGTGAAAGGTGAAATTAATTCATGCATCTGTCAATTTTGGTAATGTTGATGATGGCTATTTAAAATTAATGGAAGGTTTTCAAAGTAGCTTAGAAAAAGAAAAAGTGGAGAACTCTGCAGTTGTGCAGTTAATAAAAAAGGAAACATGACATACTGTGTCATGCATGGGGGGGGGGGGGGGGGGGCATGTCCCCTCCAATATTGAACAAACACGCATTTTCCCTCCCCCACAACATGGAGAAGATTTTTTTTTATGTTTGACTAGCGAGCTTTTATTTTGAAAGACACCGCGGACTTCTCACCGACACAGCCCCTCCCCTCAGGGATTCAGACAGGCTGGCCGAAGAAGGTGAGACAGAGCCAGACCTGCGGAGGTGCAGGTAGGTGCTACAGTGAAGAGATTTTAGATTGTTGATGATGAGAGGAAGATTCGAGCATGATAACAAGTGAACACGACTAAATAATTCTATAACGAGCATGGTTTTAATATCGCACCAGTCCTCCAACAGTATTTTACTCCTCATTCATGTCCACTGTTTTTATATAAGAGATCAGATGATGTTCAACAGGAACCAGCTGAGGGTGAGACAGGGAGAGCCAGACCAGCTGAGGGTGAGACAGGGAGAGGCAGAGATGCAGAGATGCAGGTAGGTGCTACAGTGAAGAGTGAGATGATTTTAGGTGGCTGATGAGAGGAAGATTTGAATGTGATAATAAGTGAACACAGTTACATTTATTTAATCCCATGACAAGTAGGGCTGGGGAGTACGGTTTAAGAATAAAATAAATTTTATTTATTTATTTATTTATCCCCGTGTCCTGTCTGGCTGTGAAGCAAACAGAATTGATGTCTGAATGCTGGTGACAAGCCTTACAGATTTACTCTCAGGTGGACTATCAAAGCTTCTGCTTTTAATGTTACGCCTGATACTTAAAACTTTATTATTATTGTTTTTTTTAATGCTTTGTAACTCCGACCAGACACGGAGACAGAGGTGAAAGAGAAAGGAAGAGACTAAAAGAAGGGGGGGGGGGGGGGTCCACAAAAATAAACAATCAATGATGAACAAGAGTCTGCTTCTAGACCTGCAGGAGAGGAAAAAAAAGAAAAGGGACACACAGCAACACAACAGGAGAAAGCTATCACTGCGTCAGCCTGATGAGGAAATATAAAATCAACATTGTTTTACTGAACAATCATGATAATAAATCACAGTGCATTTAGTGCCAACCACAGCCTTAAGACGTGTGTTGAACGTGCCCAAGTCCATACTTATGAGAGCACCATGTGAGCACCTGTGTGTGTACACGCGCTTGTTTATGTATGGTTTCTCTATAGGAACGTCCAATAGAGAGTGTGAGGGGCCACAGATCCGCCTCCCAAAGATGTGTAGGAGATGGAAGGAGCTCCAAGTCTCAGAGATCCAGGAGCTGACCCAGAGCACAGGGACTCCAGGGAGACTGTGACCAGAAAAGCCCCTGCCCCCCTCGAGAGGAGCAGAGGATCACCCTGGGGGGCCACAACCAACAACAACAAAAATTTTGAAAAAAGAAGTGCCAAACTCTGCATTCTGGTACTGCTTTTTCTTTTGGCCATCTAAATAATAATTTATTTCCAGCTGTTGTTGTGAGTGAATTGTTACTTTTTCATTCTGTCAGAAGCAATCAGATGGTTGGTCAGCATTGTTGGCTGATGTAGTATTTTGATAAGAGTCAGATCAATTCAGACTGAATATTCACCGCTTTAGTCTTGTATTAAATCTGTTTACACATCTCTACCCATATGTAAAAAGATAATATATCCTACATTCATATGATTACACAAAAATAAAACAGTGCTGACATAAAAACAGCTTTTTTAATAATGAAAACGTCCACGTTGGCCGGTAATCGAACCTGGATCTGGCTGATGGGGAGCCTAAGTCTCCTCCCCTTCTGGTTGGCTCCTGGGTCCCTGATTGAAAAAAAAAAAGGAATGTTAGTGAACTGAGGTATAAAACTTATTTTCTTGTCTTTCTGGGCCTTGCCTTACGCCCCGAGTCAAATCCGTCAGGCTTTTCTAATCCTAGAGTTTCACTGTGTATTTTCTATCAGAAGCTAATGCAGGAGATAGGTGTAGGAGACTATTTTCATGTTCCGCCTGCATGAAAAACTCAGTGACCAATTATAATCAGAAAAAAATCATTAAATGTACCTTTTTCAGTGAGGTTGACCTACAGTATTGATCTACAACAGATTTGTTAGATTTCCAAAATGTGCCCCCCCCCCCCCATATTAAACTTGTTCCTACGCTCTTGCATCACACGCACACACACACGCACACACACACACACACACACACACACACACACACACACACACACACACACACACACACACACACACACACACACACACACACACACACACACAGTATTCTAAGATGAAACAGAAGCAGGGTTGCATTTACAGATGAGTATTGTTGCATTTTTGAGGAAAACTTGTGAATCTTCAATTTTAAACAGAACATCCCAGAATTCTCTTCCTTTTATTTTCACTGAAAAGAGTCTTGGATGATACTGCTGGATCTCAGGAGAGAACGTAACTGTTCTCAATCGCTGTAGGGGAGAATAAAGAACGTCCATTGAATTTTTTTCTGCTGTCTTAGTCAATCAGAGGTTGGCTGCTAAATGTCCACCATAGCAAGCAGTGATGCAGTGAGACAGAAGAGCCTGTAAAAGGACTCTCGGTTGTTCTGCTGCTGAATGAAGAAATACAGTCAATAACCCCCCACAGCAGCCACAAAATGTACTTAAATGAGAACGAATGAGGAACTAATTACAGTTGGTCATCACCCAGAGATGAAATACGGCTCATGGATGTTTGGCTTAAAGGCTACTGAAAGGGACTTTACGGAGTTTTGAATTTTTATATTTGCGATTGCCGCCTCAGGCCAAAAGTGTAACGGCAGCTTCAATAGTAGGCTCGTGCACGAGGCGCACATGCTGTACGTGCACACTCCTTAACGAATATAACAGCTGAGACCGTCCTGTGTGTGTGTGTGTGTGTGTGTGTGTGTGTGTGTGTGTGTGTGTGTGTGTGTGTGTGTGTGTGTGTGTGTGTGTGTGTGTGTGTGTGTGTGTGTGTGTGTGTGTGTGTGTGTGGCCCGGAGGACAGAGGACAGGAGAACGCGCAGCTAATTAATTAAATAATTTGGTTCTGTACCTTTCTCTTCAGCACAGCTGACAAAGGTTTATGATGGGTCAGTCCTCCTGCACGCTCAGATCATTCCCTTCCCTTGCTTGAAAAATTGTTCCAAAATGAAAGTTGAACCCACATCTTTTTTATCTGTGAATTCAATGCCGTTCGACGAGTCTCAAATAAAAATTTGGGTATCTTACTGTAAAAAAATATACCATTAATGTACAAAAGAATCTCTATATAAATTATGTTCACATCCAGAATCAAACCCAGGTCTTCTACACAAGAGCCCGCCATCTTATTGGGTGAGCTATAGCAGCAGTGATGTCTTTTGTATCTGTAACATTTATATCCTTGATAACAGCTGAAACAACGTTCAAAGAATGGTTTGGAGGGAAAATGGCTATTTTGCTGCTAATTTGCAGGAAATATCTAGAAGAAAGTAGCTTAGGAACAGCGACAAAGTTGAACTGCCTCTCTCTCTGCTGCTAAATCTACGGATAGCAAACGCTACAGGCTATGCCTGAGCGTGAACGCGCATGAAGCAGCCTGCTCGACCCGAGCATCTCTCTTTTTCTGTGATTTTACAGAAAAACAGGCAATCACAGTAAAAATGCCAGGGCTCATTCTACAGGACCAGGGCATTGCAGGAGAATGTATGAAGAAGAAATGTATTATTTCTATACATGTTTTGGCTGTCAAACTTCCATAATGCCCCTTTAATGAATGATTAGTTAATAGTTATTTACTTATCAATACATATTTGGTACCATTTTGTAACAAGTCTTCTCTAAGCAACAAAAAAGAAAAAAAAAAGGTCTGAAATGAGTTTCCTCCATCGGGTGGCCGGGCTCAGTCACCTCTAAGATGGGCTGGCAGGCGTGGACATGTGGGGAGACTCAGAGCAGAGCTGCTGCTTCTCCGCATCAAAAGGAGCCAGCGAGGTTGGTTTGGGCATTTGAGAAGTATGCCCCCCTGGACGCCTCCACCGACCATGACATATTATTTTATGAAAAGGACACGATCACGCAACGTTACCGCCACGGTCTGACCCCTTATAACAGGAGTGGGGAACCCTGGTCCTCGAGGGCCGGTATCCTGCTTGTCTTAGCTCCAACACTTCTGATTCAGTGGTTGGTTCACCTGTTCTGCAGCTCATCAAGCTCTGCAGAAGCCTGTTAATCACCTGCTGAATGAAATCAGGTGTGATGATGCGGGGTTGAAACTGAAATATGCTGGATAGCGGACCTTGATGGACCCCACCCCTGCCTTATAAACAACGTAGGCTCTCAGATGCCGCCTCAGCTTTGCTGCAAGTATGTGGCACTGTGTCATGAAGGAGGTTTATGCTTAACATTCATGGACAAAAATGTCAGCAAATAAATGATAGTAAAATAGTGAAGTTTATTGAAAATTTTCAAATATTTGAAAAGGTAATTTTATTTAATAATAATGGAATTAAACACTTTTACTCAAGCGTCAAACAAACAGAAAAGAATGAAATTAGAAAGTGACCAAATACGTTTAAAGGTGTGGTTCACCAAAAAAAACATTTTTTTAAAGATTATGGTAAAATGGTAAATTATTTCTGTTTTTAATCGGTCACTCTGAGTTTTTCAGGCAGGCTGAACATGAAAATAGTCTCCTACACCTATCTCCTGCATTAGCTTCTAATAGGAAATAGACAGTGAAACTCTAGGAAGTGAAATCCTGATTGATCTACGTCACAATGTCACTTGACATTCATGAACTCACCCATCTTGACTCACAACGGGAAGGCTGTTGTTGGTTTAGCGTCCTGGAAACAGCAGAGAACATCTTAGCTAGTAGAAGCTAACCGTTAGCATTCGCAACTCCACCACACAGCAGAATTCCTTCAGGCTTGTGTTATTTGTGGAGATAAAACATCAAAGTTGCAGCGCAAACATAGTCAGTGGTAGAGATGTGTTGCTGTTATCCAATCAGAGGCGAGATATCCAAATATCAGGAAATGAGACCCAACATTCTGTCATCTGAAGCTACTTTTTCCTCTGGCTGATTTCTCCGTGCTGAAACAGGTGCACCGGAACTTTTTTTTTCTGAGTACAATTTTCAAGGCACTCATTCTGAGACCACTGCAAATGTATTACAAATATGAGGGAAGGCCCTCTTTAAATAGATGTGTGCTCATGATCCTGAAGGACATTAGTTAAATTGATGGTTGTGGAAATTTTATTTATTCGTTTATTTTATGTATTTATTTTTTTTAACCAGGAAGGCCCCATTGAGATTAAAACCCTCATTTTCAAGGGAGTCCTGGCCAAGAGGCAGCAGAAGTTACAGCTCCATAGACATGTTATGTACTAAATTACAGAACACAGGAAATCCGTCTCACGGGCTCTCAGTCTGGTTTTAAATGTAGTCAAGGAGATAAACTCAGTTCATTTCCAGTTTTCCTGCAGCCTCTTCCATGCAGAAGGAATGATCCAGATGCATTCTTGTGTGTGCAAACAGATACAACAACAAGGTGATGAATAAAATCCTTTAGAATAATAACAGCTCAATAATAAATGACCGAAAACTGAGACATCAAACTGATAAAACAATTAAAGGAGGAGCTTTTAAAATGGGTCTCAATTCGTGGTTGGACAGAAAGACACAACTCAGCTTAATGATATGCTCCAAAAATCCTGTCCACACCTTGTGTCAGACACATGGAGAGCGACCTATCTATCGGGTCAGCTGTTGGCTGTGTTAGAGGGATGCGCTAAATGTCCGCTAGGTGTCGCTCGAGCAGCGTTTAACAGCACGTGCTTTGTTGTAGTTGAGTGCCAGGGGTCCTCCCGGTATTTGGCCGACGTGTGCAGAACCATCAGCTTGTAAACATGAAACAAGTCCTCCTCGTACAGGTTCACACTTTAGGGTTTAACTGTCATCGATGGAAAATAAACGAAGTTAAAACGGATAAAGGGCAATACGGCTTTATTATTTATTTATTTATTTATTTATTCGTGCATGCAGTTTCATTTTTGTCCTTATTGTGCAATTTAAAAACACGATGAGAATTGCATTATATGCTCTTTCGTTTCTTGTTATCGTAAACCGTCCATATTAGTGACGTCATGTAGATTCTTTCAAACACCAGCCTGCAGGAGTAAATACCGCTGGCTGCAAAAATCACGCTGCTTTTGCAGGTTTCTCAAGCGGAGTGAGCGAAACAGTCAGTAGCGGCTCTTTTGTTACGAGAGCAGTCTCTCTCTCTCTCTCTCTCTCTCTCTCTCTCTCTCTCTCTCTCTCTCTCTCTCTCTCTCTCTCTCTCTCTCTCTCTATCTCTCTATCTCTCGCTCTGTCTGTGTGTGTATGTGTGTGTGTGTGTGTGTGTGTGTGTGTGTGTGTGTGTGTGTGTGTGTGTGTGTGTGTGTGTGTGTGTGTGTGTGTGTGTGTCACAGGAAGATTCAGAGGGAGAGGGAGAGGCGCACAGAGGCAGTGTTTGAGATACAGCCGAGTGTGTGAGGAGGATACAGAGACTGGGATGCTGGCGGCGTTTCTCCGCATTGATGGTTAAAATGGCGAGAGCTTGTTGGACCGGACCAAACCTCTAAACTGTAGCACAGTGCGTCCCAAGTCTGTGTCTGGATTTAGGCTTGCTCACATTTCTCTTCCACCTTCTCGTTTGTATTAGCCTATTTTACGCGTGCTGGACTATTTCTGTGCGTTTCAATGGCATCCACAAGGCGCCGCCGCCTGGTTCAGACTTTTTGGGGGATTCTCCTCAAGGCATTGATCGGTAAGCCTGCATCACCTTGATCACTGAGTACATGGGTGGATGTGAACGCGTCAGCCTGCTGCTCTCTGGAGCGTGCTGTACGCTGCTACCAGCGTCAGGGTCGCTGTGTGCGACCCTGAACTTGGCCGCTCTCTGCTCGGTGTGTGAAGTCCAGCGCCGGAGTCTTGCGCACAGCCATGTTGATTGTCTTTCGTGCAAATTTGCGTGCATTCTGCATTTATACCCACATGCACTTAAATCCAGATTGGGCTTTATGTGCAGCGCTCTGGCAGCCACGTGGTTTCTTCTGCTTGTTTTCATATTTAATTTTTGCAGGATTGCACATGGTTGGGTGTTTTTTGTCCCTGCTGCTTTCATTGTGTGTTTTTTTTGTAGGAACCAGTCAGGAAAGTCATTTATTCCACGTTGTTTCTGAGTGAACATTAAAAGAGCTCTCCCATGAGTTTCATGTCATGTCAGGGTACTCCAAAAGTAGATGGATTTATTGACTGGTCAGTCATTAGAGTACACCACCCCATGGCTGGGTAAAATGACAGTGGTTATTGCTCTGAGAATAGATTAAAAGACTGTGGTTATTGCCTGCTGGGGAGAATATTTGTACAGATTAAATGTCAAGGCTGTCCCTCTACTCCTTTTCAAATTTCCCCCTCCATCCCTTTGTTCCTCATGACAGTCACTTTCTCTCCCTCTATGTGGGGGCCCCTAATTCAAAGGCTGGAGAGTGTATTGAGTATTTGCAAAAAGCATACCACACAGGGACCCACAAAGGCTGGCATCATAGAGGCTGCTGGTTCATAACATGTTTGCTCAGAGGACTCTAGGAACAAACACTGACAAAAACACACACGCACACACACACTCGTACACTCAGCTCTGTGATGGATGCAATTCCAATCGGCTCATCGTAGAGAAGAAATGAAGCCCTTTCAAGTGCAGCTCTGCCTCCAAGAGTAGATTAGGTGGAGATAAAAACACTTTTATGGCATTTGAAACACCGTTGATAAGAGAGACGAAGAGCATTCAATCACAAAACTCTTAATTCCAAATAAAAACATCACAAGAAATCAACTTGAGTCAAATTGATGAGAATAAAAACACACCCTTTGGCTGGTTTAAGCACAAGAAGCTGTCTGTTTTGGCTCCTGCCAGGTAGCTCTCCTTCATTTTAATCCAAGCTGCATTTAGTATTTCAGGATTAAAGCTGTTGTCTTTGAAGAAAAGGTCTCTAATGCACACATGATTGGCAGCGCTAAGCGGAGAAACAGCTGGCCCACTTTTATTCCCCAGCATCCATGTGTTGCGTTTCACTTCTATAATCTTTATCTCCGCTGCTTTGTTGTGATCTGCACTTCTGCTGTTGCAACCCAAACAAGGGCTCAATAGAAACTGAGAGTGTGAGGCAGTGTAAGGTTGCAAGTACAGAAGAATATTGATTAATAATTAATCAAGCCATAGCCAATAAACAGAATGTAAATATCAATACGGCATGCATTGTTTTCCCTCTGGAAAAAGAATAAGCATTGCTTTTTAGCTTAAAACTATTGACTTCATATAAAAGAAATGAAGTTGTTCATTCATCTGCTCATTTAAATGGCCTGTGTAAACCCGAGGCTCTCCGCTGAGTGATTCATGCACCTGATCTGAAGTAAGAGTTGCTGCGAAGGCTCAGAGATTCTTTAAACACAGTTTATTTCGGCTCTACGTGCACTTAAATGTAGGGATGCAGCAGAAGCACTTTTTTCCAAATCGATACGATACCAATACTTGGATCTGAGTATTCGCTGATACCAATACTTCTACCACACACAAAAAAATGCAATGCATTACAATACATGTTTTATTTTATTCTCTGCTTTCAACAGGAAAAAAAAGTGTGAAGTAGATAAAAAATAAAATATATTCATAGAAATGATCACAAAACTAAAATATTAGGTGAACAGAAACGACACGTTACAGTGAAGCCACTTTCAGGCGACTGCATTGGTATCGGTTGACTTTTACCGATATTGGTATCGGTGCATCTCTATGCATGCGGGATGATTTCCACACGTCCTGCAGAAATGCAAGATTTTAAAATCATGTCTTAGTTTTAATAATGAGGAACCAGAGAGATCACTTTAACTAATGGGTAACAAAAAATGCATCAAAACTACAAAAGATTGTTTTTAAATCCTAAAAGCTAACCAACAGGGAGCCTAAGTCTCCTCCCTTTCCAGTCGGATCATGGGCCCCCGGAAGAAGGAAAAAATGAATGTAAGTCAACGGAGCTAAAAGAGCTATTTTCTAATCCGCTTTGCCTTACGCCCTGGACCACACACACGTTTAAATGAAAAGTAATGATGGGTGTTTCGACCACGCCAGTTCCGTAACATTCATCAGTTTGTTAAATGTTGTAATTAGCACGCTACAAATCAGATATACGTAAATGGCATCACCGCAGAGTCTCCTCTCCCCTAGCGGAGCTGCTACTTACCACATGGCCAGATTTATTGTGGTTCCTTCCTCCTGAAGGAAAGATTTGAAGTCCGTTAAACTTCCAGCCCTTCTCCCTCTGCTTTTGTTCGTGGCTGGTTCAGTTACGTCCGCGTGGTGATGCGCATTTGTAGTCCTGAACGATTTTTCTCACAGAACCTAAAATAACTTTTCTTCATGTTCAAAAATAAGCACTTTCTGGGCATTAAAATGCATCTTTCACAGACATCAGGTGTGAAATCCATGGCACATAATAAACGGGATTAGGAAATAGCTTTTATAGCCCCATTATTTAGTCTTCGTCTTCGTCTTCCTCCGCTTATCCGGGTCCGGGTCGCGGGGGCAGCATCCCAATTAGGGAGCTCCAGGCCGTCCTCTCCCCGGCCTTGTCCACCAGCTCCTCCGGCAGGACCCCAAGGCGTTCCCGGACCAGATTGGAGATGTAACCTCTCCAACGTGTCCTGGGTCGACCCGGGGGCCTTCTGCCGGCAGGACATGCCCGAAACACCTCCCCGGGGAGGCGTCCAGGAGGCATCCTGACCAGATGCCCAAACCACCTCAACTGGCTCCTTTCGATCCGGAGGAGCAGCGGTTCTACTCCGAGTCGCTCCCGAATGTCCGAGCTCCTCACCCTATCTCTAAGGCTGAGCCCGGCCACCCTACGGAGGAAACTCATTTCGGCCGCTTGTATCCGCGATCTCGTTCTTTCGGTCATTACCCAAAGCTCATGACCATAGGTGAGGATTGGGACGTAGATCGACCGGTAAATCGAGAGCCTGGCTTTCTGGCTCAGCTCCCTCTTCCCCACGACAGATCGGCTCAACATCCGCATCACTGCAGACGCCGAACCAATCCGCCTGTCGATCTCCCGATCCCTCCTACCCTCACTCGTGAACAAGACCCCGAGATACTTAAACTCCTCCACTTGAGGTAGGACCTCTCCCCCGACCCGGAGGTGGCAAGCCACCCTTTTCCGGTCGAGAACCATGGTCTCAGATTTGGAGGTGCTGATCCTCATCCCAGCCGCTTCACATTCGGCCGCGAACCTACCCAGCAAGAGCTGAAGGTCAGAGCTTCATCCCATTATTTAGTTTTTCTGTGAACCCATGGTCCAGCAGTAGATGGGCGGGGCTTAGGCTCCCTTTTGCTTTAATGTTGTTCTGTTTAATGTTATGCTACATGTTTGAGTCAACCTAGTCTGATACGATCTAAGCATCATGAAGTCATTTATGGGAAAAGTAAAGATTCACCAATTCAACTTTTTTATGTGATTTCCAGGTCTTAACGAGCTGTAGCGGTGAGGGTTTTTGCTAACTTGGGCTTTTTTCTAAAAGAAATATAATTAGCTGAAAACTTTAATTTTATTTATTTATTTTTTTTACTCATCACCTTGAAAGTTAGGAGTCTGGAAGTAAAAACCCTTGAAATAATTGTTAGTGAGTGCTAGTTGCTTCAACAGGCCCAAAACAAATATAAAAAAGATCTTTATGTTTCAGTTTCTTTATTAATATTTTAATATGAGGCTTAGAAATAATTTTTTTTTCATTTTATTTTTATTTTTCAAATTTTCCACAAACCCCTTATTTTTCATTTTGAAATGAACCCTTATATGTGGTGGGGTTAAATACAGTATATTATACCTCTAACCTCGGAGTGGCATCATTCGTTCTTGAACACTGATATTGCATGGCCATCAGGTGACATGATGCAAATGGGCCGTGTCAGTAACCCATAAAACTCTAACCCTGAAGCCAGTGGAGCATCTCTGGCTCTCTCTGTCAGTTTGTTTGGAGCTGATGTGTTTTCTGCAGCGGTAGATCCTGTCAGTAGTTAGCATCTTCAACACGTAGCTGACCCTTGTCTCTGTGCTACTCAGTGATCTTAAATTCTCGTGCCTTCATGAAGAGATTGTGCAGGTTTCTGCCCACGAGAGTGTATTTTTGGTGGGATCTCATGCCGTTTGTTTCCACAGCTGGACTCCAGATCTCTGTCAGCACACCTGTAGATTCTCCACATTCACAAATGACCTTTTTTTATTGTTTTCCTGTCTCCCGCATCTCATCGCGTCTGCCTTCTAATTAGCTACTGTGCTCAGTATCATTTTCTCTGACATTTCTCTCACTGTTGCTTGTGACCTTCCAGCCACACGTAGATCAGAATTGCATTAGCTGGTCACTCGGGCGACACGCTTTATGCATCAGGGCAACGAAAGGCAAACATCGTCAGATTTGCCTCGCTAAAGGAAAATACTCTGGTTTTTGTTGAATGCAAAAATCATTAAAGTTATTTAATCACCTTCTAATGAATGACAGCCTAACAAATGAAAGTCTGAGCTGCTCTACTTATTGAAAACATGTCAGCTTTGAAGGCTGCAAATTAAAATGCATAAATCAGCCATAAACATGCAAAGGACGTATTTATGTATTTTTTTTTTTTTTGCTCATGAATCACTTTGTTTGCATGAGATCCTTTCTGAGATTTGTTCATGCTGGGATAAATAAACACTCCCCATGTGTGGTGGGATTGCAGCAGGGCTTCTGTGTGTTTCCTCCTGGTTGCTTCCTGTGTCAAAACATGATCTGTGTTGGACCAAAGTAGACGGAGCTCTGAGGTCAGCGTCATTTGGAGAGGCCGGAGGATCCTGGCCTGCCAGCTAAGGGTTAAATATTTCTCAAACACCACCCCCCTAGTTTTTCACAAATGGTAGCACTGATGTCTCTGTGGTCTCAGGGCCATTTCACTTATGGTGCTCACTGAGGGAGAAAAGGGGGAAGGGAGGGGAGGCACGGAAAGGACATAGATCATTAATTGGAGGAAGAGGAAGAGTTTCTGTATATTGTTCTTGATACGTGATCCTCGTGGAGGGGGTGAGCCAGTCTAAAGTCCGTCTGGTCCTGTTTTGCTCCTGGAATTTGGGGGATGAGGCCAGAGGTTTTGACCCCGGTGCCTCGCCTCCCCTTCCTCAGCCCACCTCTAGCCCGTCCCACCAGATTCCATGGCCTGGGGCAGCGACTGGCAGTGCTCAGACCATCAGCAGCTGAAACACGATACCAGGAGAGCATGCTCAGCTCCTCTTTTATGTTTGGGACCCCCCCCCCCCCCCCCCCCATCAAAAAAACCCCAAACACTGAGTATCACATGGTCACAAACCAGAAGCATCTCCACAAACAAGCAAACTCTTCTGGGAGTTTCTAACAGCAGCAGCATTTAGTGTTTAAAGGTGAACATTAAAACATGATGGTCGTGGTGTCAAAGTTAGCGCCACTGGTTAAATACAACAGTCCAAAGGTGCGACGTGCTGCAGTTTGAGGAGACATGAATTCCCCTGTGAGTGCAGCCTGCAGCTAGCTCAGTCAAGGCTTTTTATTCATCAAGTGCAAGGCCTGCTGGGCAGCCACGAGCACATAAAGAGCATTTTCATTTGTTTCAGGGGGTGAAATGAAAACTAGAATCATCTCTGTTCTCGCTGAAGTTCAGGATGACCTTGAATGGCGGTCACTGATGATAAATGAACAAAAGAGTTAATATAGATCCATTCAATTAGCTGTAAATATGAGGGCAAATGATGAAAATACACATTTTAATAAAGCCAAATCTGATAAACCATTCTGTTTTGTGTTAAAGAACCTTAACCTTAATCAATTTCCCTCTGGGATTAATAAAGTATTTTTGAATTGAATTGAATAACAAGAAGGGCTGCGCAGTGGCGCAGTGGTTAGTCATTCTCTCCGGGTACTCCGGCTTCCTCCCACAGTCCAAAAGCATGACTGTTAGGTTAATTGGTCCGTCTAAATTGTCCTTAGGTGGGAGTGTGTGTGTGTGTGCATGAGTGTTTGTCCTGTGTGTCTCTATGTTGCCCTGTCATGGACTGGCTCTGTCCAGGGTGTACCCCGCCTGTTTGCCCGTTGACTGCTGGAGATAGGCACCAGCCCCCCACCACCCTGGTGGACGAAGAGGGTTCAGAAGATGGATGGATGGATAACAAGAACACATCTCTTTATTTTTGTACCTCTTTCTGTTGGCTTATTGGCTAACCCAAAGCCAGATGCCCCGGTTTTGCTCCTGAATGTCCTTTTGAGCTTCTATTCTGACACCTTTCTGTGCTGATGCTTGAATCCTGTAGAAAAATTGCTGCTAATCCTGGAGATGACCCTCTGAAGAGAATTCGATGCTCTTTGCAAGGGCATCACACTGTGCTGTTGGATACTGAGACCAATGAACTGCATTGAAACATGAATTTGCAGGATATTAAAGGATCAATAGAGACATTATTCTAATGAATAGGAAGCAGCTCTCTCAGGTATCATTTGTGTTTATAAAAAAAATCAATTTAAGGCCAGTGAGACTCAGTCTGGTGATGTCGTGGTTACCGGTGTGTGCAGAATGGGAACAACAGAGATGCTCATGTCGCTTTTACGAGAGGCATTTGATCATGGAAACCAATCAGACTTCTTTAAACATCTTTGGTGTGTTCTTGCTGTGTTGAAGTTCTAATTCCATCTTTTAGTTCTTTTTAAAACACAGAAAAGTTTTATTTACCCGCAATCAGACTTCTCTTTCATTTATTTATTTGACCTGAACCATAGCACACGGGAGGGGCTCCATGTTTACACCTGTCACTGTGTCTGTTCAGGTGTGATGAGTGGAGCCGAGCTCTCTTTCAAGCTGGAGCCCAGTGACATCATTGCTGTTCAGGAGCAGCCGCTGATGCTCCACTGCCAGGTGGACGGCATCCCCCCCATCACCACACAGTGGAGGCACGACGGCCTGCTCGTACCTCAGGACCGCCATCACACCACCTTCATCAACGGCTCGCTCCTCGTCGCTCACTTCCAGAAGACCAAGTCAGACGGCTCGTCGGACGAGGGCGACTACGAGTGCATGGCCCAGAATTCGTTTGGGCGGGTGGTGAGCCGAAAAGCCCGCATCCAGGCAGCCAGTAAGTTCCTTTGTGGGTTATAGAGGCTGTGTTTTTGTAGTGGGACACGTTACTTTTAATTTGAATAAAAACATGTTCAGTTATAGTTTAATTAAAATACGACTGCATTCTGGTATCAGCAGATGAACTCTGTTTAATTTAAAAAAAACACGCTAACAGTGATATTAACGTGAATGCACCACAGACAGAAGAGTATTATTATGATATCTATGCTAATTTAAGAGGGCTTTTAGCTGGATTTTGTGCATCTGATGGGTGTGTGAGTGTAGCGTGTACATGTATGAATAATCAACACTAACATATCTGGATTTTTTAAGGTTATCATCTGTTTCCATTGGAGGTGGTACTTTGTTTGCTTATTAACTCCTAAAACGTTAAAAACATTCAAATAAAAATTGCCAGAATGGGAACTTGCAGCCTGGCCTGCCAGACTCGTCCTCTGTTTAATTCTGCACAGAGGAAGAGTCTGGTAACTCACAGGCAGAGAGGCACATGAGGGGCGGGACTAGCCAGCTCAAAAATAACCAATCACAAAAAAGACAGAAATGCTGACTGTACCGCACGACGCTGTAGTTTTTTTTTAGCTGTAGTAAAAAAACAAAATGGTGTCTGGCGACAGCGCAAACATGTTTTCTTTAGAAGGAAGGCTTTTAGCGCTTCTACTTGTTGTGGTTTTAAAGACATTCAAGTCATTTAGAACAGAGGAAAGAGCCGCAGCGAACTCTGCCGCTGTCTTTGTTGTTTATGAGAAACTGAGCGTCGCCGTGTGTGACGTCCGCGACGCTTTAGTTTTTCAGCTGTAGTTGAAAATGGCGACTGGCAACAGCGCCAACATCCTTCTTTAGAAGAAAGGCTTTTAGCGCTTCTACTTGTTTTAAAGACGTGTCCAAGTCATTTAGAATAGAGGAAAGAGGCGCAGCGAACGCCGCTTCAGTCGCCATGGTCGACAAACTTGGCGTTTTGGTGTGTGATGTATGCTACTCAGCGCTGATTGGCGGTTAGAATTCTCAGGGGGTGGGGTTGGTTGAATAGGAGAGTTCCCAGACTATTTCTCTGTGCAGAATTAAACAGAGGACGAGTGGCAGGCCAGGCTAAGAAATTGACCCTAACCGCCCTTGTAGGAGTCATTTTCATAATATTCTTTTATTGTTAATTAAACAGTTTTGCGTTGATTTCAGCCAAAAGGAGTCAGGGCCACTCCCTGGTTGTGTTCATTTGTGATCTGTTACCTTTACAAATGTGAACAATGTAATTAAAACACTGTTTCCAGTAATCACATTTTAGTCCGATCCCAGTCGACTGTGCACCGCTGTGCATGTAAATGCATTTAATACGTCTCTGACTGCGTCGTCATTGGAATATTTTAATACGACTCTCTGAGTGTAATGAACTTTCTGATGCTCGTCTCCAGTGCTACTTAGAAATCTAAGCCTTTGAATGCTGCATTAACAAGCGCTCACGCTGAGACTCTCCCAGCTGCTTTGTGAGAGCGCAATAAGCTGCAGGCAACTTAGCAACCCACTCACTGGTGGAAGCATCAAAATGCATTTTCTCCAGCCTGACTACCAAACTCTTTGTTAGAAGACATCCTAGTTCCTCATTAAGTTCCCAGCATTGTTGCTGCGGTTCATCTTTCCTTCTTTCTTTCACCTCATTGTGAGATAATCAGACGTTCCGTCTGCCTCGCTTGTTTCTGCATTTCTTATCTTGCTCGAAATCAAAAGCATCAGGGATTCACCGTCTACCAGCAGCTTTAGAGATGACGCACTCTTCCACTCTGTGCAGAGCTGAAGATATGTTCTCTAACACAGGGATGGATTAAAGCCCACAGAAACCTGTTGATTCCTAGACTGCGTGTAGACAGAGTACTGCTGTGCTATTGTGGATGGTGTAGCTTTTCTACTCTGCAGGGGTATGAAGGTTAGCGCGCATGTGTCAGTGATCGACAGGAAACATCTCTTCAGCTCAGTGGCTGGTCTGTGCAACCTTTTGGAGTTTGGATCTGGGGTGCTTCCATTTCGGGTGAAAACCAGGAACATATGGCCTCAGGGGAAGGATCAAGTCTGCTATGCAAACGTAAATGTGATCATCCCAGAAAAAAAAGTGTACTTCCATCTTTAAAGTATTCACAAGTTTCATCTGATATTTGCAAAAATTGTAAATCTCTTTGAATGCTGCAGACATCACTGAGAGGTTATCATTGTCCACCTTAAACACAGCTACACTTTCCAATAGGAAGGAAAGAGGATGTTTTTTCAGACATCAAGACTACAAAGTGAGTATAAAGAACCAGATTGCTAATGCAGCGGTCCACTTTGACATCAGTGAGATCTTTCAATAATAGATATCCATCCCAGTGGTTCTGAATGATGTATTGAGCAGATGGAATTTGCAACTTGAATACATTAGTCATTTTTAAAGAAGCAATATCTAAGAATTCTACAGCGAAATACATAAAACAGTTTAATGTCTTAATCGTGATGGAAGGAAAGTTACATTGAAACACATTTTATTGTCAGTTAGCTGGATGGGTTGTCCATGTTTCTCCTTGTGAATAAAAAAAATGACAGAAGGGCGTAGATACTGTTTACACTCTGTGAGTTTGTGAGATCACTGAATCTACATCGAGCTAACGCAGCATCTCCGTCATTTGTAATTCAACACCGGCAGGCAAAAAGCTTCAGAATCATTTAAAAACCTGAAGGCAGTAAACAGAAGTGACCCAGAAGTTATTTCTTGGACCCCCTAAGAAGCCACGGCATCTTTTTGTATTCTTTTAATATCGGGTGACGCAGGCTAGAAGCTAATGTTGAGCTAAAAATGCTAACGGTGAATTTTAGAGCAAATAGTCAGCTCTAAAAATATCTCTAGCTACTTTTTCCAAAGACCAACTTGATGTTAAAGTGAAATGTATGTTTGAAGTGAATAATGAGTCAAGCTAACAGCAACACGGCAAACAAACACACTTCCTCTAAAGCCAGAGACATACTGCCGTAAAAAGTGTAGTAAGTGCTCCTACCGTAAAACACCCCAGAGTGTTAAAAGTAAAACTTTTGCTTAGAGTAACCACATGTCACCACAGGATGCCATTCTTACATCTTGCACCTTTAAACTGAGCAAAACCAAAGGTATTAAAAGCAATGGGTGACTGAATGCATGTGTAATGAATTAACTCGTAGATGCAAACCCAGCCATGGTTTTGTCTTGTTGTAGAAGATTTCCACTCCAGCTCAACCTTTCTTGCTGTTTCTAACCTCGTTTCGACGTGTATTGATTAGGATTACTAGAGGATTACTGCGAGTGGCACTCTGACCTTGGACCTCTGACCTTTTTGGCTGTGCAGAACAGTCTGTTTGTCGAAGCATGGAATGATTTATCACTCCGATACACTCTCCTACAGTCCAGCGGAGAAGGTAAACAATCTTCCAGGGAACCTTTAAAGGAACAAGTGAAACTAGAACATTTGTTTTGGTGGTACATCTTTTATTCACTAATTTATTTGACCTATTTGATGATATTTAAGCTTTATGGGGGATAGTTTGGTATGGTTCTGTATAAATATTAAGTACTTTACATCCTACAGGACTGATGAAACTGAGGACTGGTGTTGTATTAAATCTGCACCCATCTCCCTAAATTTATTACATTTATAGTTTTGCATTACATGAATTTTTCTGCAAGAATATATAGATTTTATCCATGATGGACTTGAACCCTGGATGCTCTGGAAGTAAAAGATGCTGCTGCTGTTGGGGACATTTACATTTTTAAATAATCATAATTCCTAAATAGAAAAACACAATATGAACTTAAACGTTTAGATGAAGCATATGTATTTTTTCGATTACATTTTAGATATTGGGGCTAATTTAAAATGAAACGTTTGCTGCGGCCCACCCTGAACTAGCCATTAGCTTATTAGTCCACCATAACATGAACTCTATTTCTCTGATCTGAGGCCCTTCAGCATTAGGGAAGGCAACATTTGAAGTTTTACACCAAAACACAGACATGTTCCTTTAAAGAGGCTTTATTAGAACTCTTGGTTGTTTCTCACTCTTTGTATTTTTGTGTGTAGTGTCATCTAATGCAGAAGGACTTTAGTTGGTGTGTTTTTATGTATTTATAGGTGAATTTTCACTAAAGTCCTCACTGTTCTTCAAGGATAGCTTCCTGTAGCTTCAGCCAGTCCACACACGTTTTCCTTTTGATCAGTCTGTTGATCTTTTGAAGTTTTAGTTGGTGATAGAATGAGTTAAATGGATGATTTGTTGTTGAACTACACATATTTAGCCAGTTGTGGGTCTTTTAAATCCAGAATTTTGAACAATAATAATTCAGGACCCATCCGTTTAACTTTTGTATTTTTCAGACAGCGTGATCTAAACGAAGCAGCCCTCTCCCTAAACGTCTTAGCCAAGAGTTTGTTTGTCTTCTTTTCAGAGTGTTTGTTCATGCCCGTGCTCTTTGAGGGCTGCTGCTGTATTATGGTTCCTCCTACAACACCCTGACTTGTACCACTGTGATGCAATGGGTGGTGTGGTTACTAAAGCCTCTTTATAGCCCCCCCAGTGGACAGAGCCTTCACACCATCGCCCTGTGTAAATTTCACTTTTTATTTGCTTGACAAGCGTTTGTGCGAGCTCACTGTTGGTGGCTGGTGTTGGACCGACTCCCTGCTGTCCGTTTAAATCACCTCTCCGTCTTGGAAACACTTTACTCTGCCCAAATCGTATCTCTTTTACGGCTCCCTCTTTCTTTCTCTCTCTTTCTGTCCCTCTTTCCTCCTTTTCCTTAGGACTGCCTCATTAGCTCAGGTTCAGGAAGCTTTTCATCATTCATATGAGTGACGAGCCCGGTACAGTGGATGGAGCCGGTGCCCCTCCCCCATGGCAAACCTGCGTCACCAGGCAACACATCACAAAAGCCCCCCCTGTTACAAAATAGCTTGACTTGCTTTTGCCTGTGAGAAATTAATTGGCATGAGTTGGAGCTCCGTC